ACACTGCAGGAGGGCTGAGCCACAATTCCAATGGGACTGCCACCAACACCCTGACCCACAGGGTGTCAGGTTGGGTTCTGACTCTGTCAGTGTTGTTCTAGTGTATTGCATTGTTTATTTTATCCTTTTATTTTCTTCCCTATTAAAGAACTGTTATTTCCTGCTCCCATATTTTTTGCCTGAGAGCCCTTTAATTTAAAATTTATAGCAATTCAGAGGGATGGGGAGGGTTTACATTCTCCATTTCAGGGGAGGCTCTTGCCTTCCTTAGCAGACACCTGGCTTTCCAAACCGAGATAGGCGACTGTTCATTGGATTAGAAATTTATAAACTTTCTAGAGTTTATCACAAAGAACTTGGGGCCATCTTAGACTATGGCCAACTGCTTGCTGCCTTATAAACCTCATAGCTTTGAGATGCTGTTCTCTAAGTAATAAACCCTTCTTAGCCTGCTCCTGGTGCCCTCCCTTGCAGGCACAGCTGCACCCACCTCTCCACCACGGTGAGCGCGTCGTTGAACCTGGCGGCGAACACGTCCCCGGTGAAGTACTCGGCCAGGCGGCCCACGGCCTGCAGCAGCGAGCTCAGGTCCCTCAGCGAGCAGTGCAGCCTCCTGCAGTCGTTCTCTGCTGTGATGTTCAGCCTGTGACCTGCAGGGACACCACAGCCCGTCAGCCACACAGCCACACAGCTGAGTTTCTCTAAGGGCTGCCCCCAGAGCTGGAAATCGCTGCTCGCGCAAGGGGAGAGCGCCACGGCTCTGGGATTGATCCTGCTGCTCCTGGGATGGGAAACCTGGTGACAAAGTGACAGCAAGTGCCAAGGTTGTTCTAATTCCATTGTGAAACTAGCTCTGGGCCACAGGTCAGATGGCAGCACTGGCTCAGGCACTGCAGCACTCGAGCTTGGAAAGGAAGCTCAGCTCTTCTGACAACACCTCAAGGGTTGATAAAGATGTAAATGACTATTTCAGCCTTTTACACCCTTATTTCCTTCTGTATGGAGTTAATGCCTCCACAAATAGGAGCCTTTCTGTTTCCTGCTGCCATCAGGAGCATTCCCTGCTCTGGAGAAGGTGGTTTTCCAGGTGGAGAAGATGGTTTTCCACATGGGAGAAAGTGATTTTCCACGTGGAGAAGTGGTAAGGTGGTTTTCCA